TTTTCTGCAAACTTTTTGCAAATTGTCTGCAAACACTGGATATTTCCTGAAAATATCGAAAATATTGAGGAAATTGACTGATTTTCAGAAATATCATGGATATTCATATTGTTCTTTGAATTTTTGAATATTTTCGTGGAAATATCGAGTATACCCCGGATATTTCAAACATTGATTTTACCATAATATGTCGAGGTTTCCAATGCAACTTTTACGCATGGAAGACCTACAAAACACAGCTTACGCATTAGAATTTAGAAGACAAAATTGAAAGGAAAAAAATTTATGAAGTGCAAGAAATTATATGGAAAACAATAAGAAGATAGGTTGTTAAATAATTTTTTTACCAATATGTAGTTTCCTCTAATTAACCTCCCAATCCCAAGTCCCAACCCTTCGATTTTTTTTATCAAGAAAAATAGATAGAGATAGGGAAGTATTCTTTTGCCCTGACAAGGACAAGAAACCAATTGTGGGTAATGTTGTAACAGTACGTTATCCCATAGGGTTCTGAAATAGGCCGAAGGATATAGTGTGGAGGACGGAAGAGGATCCTCTCCGGATCCATTTTAGGATCCCTACGTTCCAACCGCTCATCGTACATCGTGCAGTTAATTTTCGTTAGATACTATTTGTGTTTAATTTTAAATAAAAAAATCAAATGATTTATGACCACACAATACACGATGAACGGCTAAGATGCGGGAATCCCTAAGATCTCCACAAAGTGAATCCGGATGGGATCCAATTCTATGGAGGACAACAACCTAAGCCAAACTTTAAAGGGTTTTATAGGATTAGGTCTAGAAATACTAAGGAGACTCTTTCAAAGTGAGACTCTTTATAGACTCTCCCCCACTTATGTTTGTGACACAATGTTTTATAATGTTGGTAAAGAGAATTGTGCCAAAAGCATGAAGTGACAGAGAGTTCATTAAGAGTCCCACTTTTAAAAGAATACATAAAGAGTCCTATTTTAAAGAGTCTCATTTTTTAAAGAGGCCAATATCAATGAATTATTGTAGTCGATCTCTATACTTTATTTATTTCCACGGACTGACCAAATTTAGAATAGTTTATAATTATATAGCTAGCCCTAGTCAAGAGCATGGAATAAGAAGTTCGTAATTTCGTTGTCTACCATATCGTGAATTTGACAAAAAAATAATTAATATATTACTAGGAGATTATGCTTCCTTAACGACTAATCTATGCATTAGGACCTCATACCGAATCTCGTAAAGGTGTAATATGTCTTTGTGTTGACTAAAGTATTGGATTTAGGGTTTTAAAATCCCCATTAAACATCGACTTTGGATTTCCAGAATCACTAGACAAATGTAAATGATTGGTGCCAATCAAATTTATTGTCCAACAACTTGCATATAACGAATTATTTGTACATGTGACTGACAATAACATATATATTACATGTATCACCAACTTTGTCTTATGACAAGATGAATTTACATTAATAAGGACCAAGATAGAGTAAATAATACGAATAACCCACATACTAAACGAAAACACAACTTAAGAAAAATACCAAGATACTGTTGTCATACTCAAAACTGCGTACTGCATCCCTCTGACTACTAGAGATGTTTTAATTATGAAATTTTTAATGTCAGGAAATAGAAAGAGTGTTAAAATAGATCAGACTAATGGATGTATACGAACTTTTTTGATTAATTATTCATGTTGAGTCTTACTCGTTTTTTAATTGTGAATCTTACTTTTATCTTTAACAAATAAAATACTGTATCTACCACTGAGTTGCTATTCAAAGCTTAAGATTTAGAGAGTTTTAACGAAAAGTCCACAGTACCGTTCACTTTAACGAAAAACCACATTTTTACATTAAAAAGTCAATTCGGGTACTATTCACTTTACCCTTTATTTTGTCCTTATCATTAAAACTCAAAGTTTTCAAACTCCTTTTATTAGTTTTCCTTATCCCTGATACATGTAATATTATTGAGATGATAATATAGTTTAAAAATGAAGAAAGAAATTGGGCTAGTCTACTTTTGCTTACATTTCTTCACATCAAACATGGGCTCGACATGCAAAAAGTAGAGTCTCAAAACCCGAGTCCAAATCCTTGTATAAACATGTTCTTGCAAGCAAGTCATCGACCCAATCTCCTCTTACTAGCACAAGAGTACATTTGACTGATTTAATTTTTTCCATATAATTTCTTTTTAATCGTTTTGGATAGAACAATGAAAATAAACACTCTCTTTCCATATTCCAATTTTTACAACCCAACAACTGTCGGTCTATGAAATTCGAACTCGGAATCTTCTTGAGCAATTTTAGTATAGGTGATTTAACAAATTTCTTTACCCTAACGTTTTCAAGAATCATATGGGATTATACTATTTTTTATTCTCAACTCTTCTACACAAATTGTAGTGTAACCTAGGTCATGACTAACACTACTCGTAAAAAATCATCCCACAAGACATAAACTGGGACCCAAAAGCACTAGGCACATTGGTCCCCTCCAATACAAAGACAAAAAAACCTTGCTAGGAGTAGGAGGGAAGCACCTAACTCTATTTCCACAATTCAGTAGGTTCATCATGCCCTTTTGTATCTACCAATGAACCTCTCACAACACAACAAAACATGCAAAGGGTCCCCTCCCCATTTGCACCACATGAATAAAACACAAGTACATTAAGACTTTGAAAATTGGCATTTGATTGACATGGCTAGACGGGAAAGCATGAAAGCTCCTCCCTACAAATGGAAAATAATAACCGTTAAAAAAAATGGTGCTTAGAAAAAAAAAGAAAAAAAAAGGAAAAAAAATGGTAATGTGCGGTTATCATTTCCCAAAATAAAAATCTGAAACCGCTTTCGACATTTGAGGCTCACAGGACCATTAGCCTTGAATTTCCAAGCAAGAAATCAGTGTTCATGGCCATGACTCAATTTTGCTTGTCCGGTTCCTTGTGTTACAATTCTTGCTTTCGAAAAAATTCATATCTTTCTCTCACACTTCCCTCAGCTTCACCTAAATGTAAGCCACTAGAAAATGGGGTGCTTAGCTTCAACACAATCCAATGCTCTGCGAGCCAGAATGGGACGATTGAGTATTCTGATAATGGGTTGGCTAGTTTTCCCGAAAAGCATTTGCATCGAAAGTCCGCTACTAGTTTGAAATCTCCACCTCCTAGGCCTCGCCGGATAATCTTGGTTCGACATGGGCAGAGTGAAGGAAATGTAGATGAGAGTGCTTATACAAGAATTTCTGATCCGAAGATTGGACTAACAGAGAAAGGGTTGGCTGATGCTGAGCAATGTGGGAGGAGGATAAGGGAGATGATTGAGAGGGACAAAGTGCATAATTGGAAGGTGTACTTTTATGTGTCTCCTTACAGAAGGACAGTTCAAACACTGAAGGGTTTGGGTAGAGCGTTTGAGCGCTCAAGAATCGCCGGCATGAGAGAAGAGCCTCGGCTTAGAGAACAGGATTTCGGTATGTGCCCTTACTATCTATGCTTATCTCCTTTTCCATGAAATTTGAAGCGATTTGCATTTTGTTACATTCTCCCATGAAAAGGGAACTTTCAGGATAGGGAGAAGATGAGAGTAGAGAAAACGATTCGCATGCTTTATGGTCGTTTCTTTTATCGGTTTCCTAATGGGGAATCTGCAGCCGATGTTTATGATAGGATTACAGGTACAGCTTCCACATATATTTTTTATCGATTATCGATCACTATGAATTCAGCCAACAAGTTTTAAGGCAATGAAGTGTACTTGACTTGAGCAGGATTTAGAGAAACACTGAGAGCAGATATCGATATAGGACGATTTCAACCACCGGGCGAGAGAAATCCAAACATCAACTTGGTGCTAGTTTCACACGGTCTAACGCTCAGAGTGTTCCTCATGAGATGGTACAAATGGACAGTGGAGCAATTTGAGAGGCTGAATAACTTTGGCAATGGAAGCATGGTCGTTATGGAAAGAGGCTATGGTGGAAGGTATTACTCCTCCACTACTTCATTGTAGAAAGTTGAAATCAATTTTTGCAACAAAGCGATATTCTGAACTACTCTAACCTACCTAAACAAGGATTTCTACTTGAGTGCAAAGAGGCAGGCACACTACCTTGATCAACGATCCTAACCTACATATGCACAAATCTATTTTCCGAAGACATAGCGAAGTAATATGAATTCGTTGCGTTTCCCATTTCCCAATCTCTAATTTCTGCAGGTACAGCTTGCTAGTGCATCACACTGAAGAGGAGCTAAGACAGTTTGGATTGACAGATGAAATGCTTGTTGATCAAGAATGGTAGAACTAAAAAAACCTAAATCTTTTAGCAAGTTCATTGCAATGAGTTCTCATTTGTATTTAGTACTCTAACCCTGTGCGTTGGGTTCTGATTCAAGGCAAAAATATGCAAAACCCGGGGAGCTGAACTACGATTGCCCGATGCTAAATTCCTTCTTCACGCACTTGGGTGATGATGACGATGATGGTGATCGTGCGGCCGTTGGCACGCTCTAGTTGACATAACCATGGAATGGAAGCCATAGATAATATACTAACAGCTGTATGGTGTAGAAATGCAAGTAAACCAACATTTTTTTTCTTCTCTCTTTTCACTTTGATATGGTAGTAAAGAACAAAGTCTGTAGAGCTTTTATCTTTGCAAACAAGTTCAACCCAAAATAAACTCAAATAATTATCATATTCTGATCCGAGTCCCTTCGGCGACATCCGAAAAAATAAAACACATGATTAAGCACTGGTTTATGAAATTAAGGGAATCAAACATGAAAAGGGAAGCAAATCTTTTTACACAAATAGAGTTGATTGGACTTTGATTTTTGATAATACTAGCAAAAATGTCCGTGCGTTGCTGCGGGATTTGAATGCATCAGCCTTAACCACATGAATAAGACATTTAACCTGAAAAAAACAATCAACATAATCATGAATGAACAAAAGGGATAGACGAGAGAAAGATGTCGGTAAGATAAGCAATTCGACTTTTATATACAGTCAACTGAGCTGATTACAAAAGATACAGTTGCAATAAATGCTCTGTTTCTTGAGAAACATAAGCAACATGCATTTAACACTTACATTGCCCTTCAAGTTACGATAGCAAAATATACGTCCAGCAGGCCAGGCATGTGTTTTAACAGCTAAACAAAAAAGCAAAATAAGTGTGTTGTTCTTGTTTCAACAGCTAATCTTTCAAGACTAATGTATGGATTAATGTATAATATCTGAGATCCTATTTGTTTTTTATTGACTGATGCTTCAACATCATCCACCTAATTCATATCACACATCCATAGATACATGAGAACGCTTATTCTCACCACCATTGCGTTGTTACTTTAGTATGTTTTTTCACAGAGAAGAAAAGGAAAGAGCATCACGAAAAACACTAACAATTTCAACTCTAAAATGTCACCTTATTCCTATAACCCACCTCAATCAACAACAAAAGAAGAAAAATAATTGATCCCTTCAAAGTGTTCAAATCATAAACTAAAAGATGTCCTACCCATCCAAACGAAAGTGGGAAGTTATTTTCAGTCCCATGTCATATCGGCACAATGGAGGGCGACACTGGTAATTTCAGATCACAAATAACTCAAAGAATCCAGTTAACCACATCATCCCCACCAACAATCTGAGAATAAATATATGTTAGAAAGACAGCTACAGCACAACCCAAAGACTAATTAAAGAAAAAAAATATCCAAAATGTACGTCAGAAATTGTTGAAATTATAAATACAAATCCAAAAAAAAAAGTGTTGAACAATTGGCTATATGGGATAAATTTAACATGTTACTCATTATAATTTGAACACTATCAAGTTAAGCATGTTTACAATCATACAGGTCAGATTTCCTTTTTAAAATAATCATTTCAATATGCCTTTCCTCAAGGAGAGACAATTACAAAGAGAGAATAATACCTGTTTTTTATTAAGACGGTAGCCAAATTCGTTATAGAGTCGTCCTCCAAGCTTTTCATCTTTTATATCAACAAACACTAAAACTGGGCAGCTTGGCATATCAACAGAAGGTTTACCATCCAAATCATGTTTAAGCAATTCATCAGTTATATCATCTCCTTCAAGAGATGTTTGGACAAACAATTTGGTCCGCAGCATTCTTATTGCATGTAAAACTAATTTTGGGGAAGCAAATCTTAGCAAACCAAATAAAACAAAACCCCAAATCAATTATAAAAAAAATTAGGCCAAAAGAACCCCACACCTAACAAAACCCCAGTTTCGCTCAAAGAGAGATTTATCTTATTTTAGCAAAATGAATTCCAACTGGGCACAAACAAAAGCCTTGACCAAAATGAATTGCACTTAAGTGTCAACCAAATTCGCTGTTAAGGAAGATATCTCAGATTGATTATGTCAATATTGTAATTTGATATATGTAGTTATTCACTTACTTATTTAGTCTGATTGTCCTTGTTTATAGGCATCAGTATAGGACTATGATTGTATAGCCTCCTTATATATTTGTAACCCTAGCTTTATCGTAAATAAGAAAAGCATTCAGCAGATTTACCTTTTCTATGATGGTACCAGAGCACTGATCTGGGAATAAAGCAAAACACAAACCCTACCCTAGCCAACGCAGCCATGGGTGAAAAATCAGAAACACAGTCAACCTATTCAGGCATGACCTCACACCTAAAATGGGACAACCCTAACCATCCACTCCACCTTCACCATTCGGACCAGCCTGGTGCAGTCCTTGTACCGCAGCAATTGGTGGAGGACAATTACAATACATGGGCTCAGTCCATGACCATGGCATTAACGGTCAAGAACAAGCTCGGTCTCGTCGATGGCACAGTCAAGAAGCCACATGAAGACAAACTTGAAGAATTGCATCAATGGAACCGATGCAATAATCTGGTGAAGACATGGCTTTTAGGGTCGATGTCCAAGGAAATTTCAGGAAGCGTCATCAACTGCAAAGATGCTCGACAAATGTGGCTTGACTTGCAGGAAAGATTCTCTCATGTGAACATCGTCCAACTATTTCACATAGAGAATGAGATTCACGGCTGCGTGCAAGGTACCATGACAGTAAGTGCGATTCCGGCATGTAGTTGTGAAACAAAGAAGGAGATTGCTTCGTACGTTGAAACACAAAAGACCATGAAGTTTCTCATGGGGTTGAATGATTCTTATGCCACCGTTCGCAGCAACACTCTTCTCCTTGAGCCATTGCCCACAGTAAACAAAGCCTACTCATTGGTTCTCCGCCATGAGCGACAGGCGGAAGTTTCCAGTGGAAACAACAATATTTCTCAAACAGAAGCTGCGGCATTCACCGTGAAAACAACTAGCCGCGAAGTCGAATCAGAAGACGGTGCACTTCGATGTGGGAAGTGCTACAAGATGAATCACAATACTAAAAATTGTCGTGCTCATCTCAAATGTACCTTCTGTGGATGGAAGGGTCACTCTTATGATTTTTGTCGCAAGAGGAAAGCAGCTGCTAAGAGTGAACAAAGTCGACCATTCTCCTCCAAAGGCAATCAAGTTGCAACTCACGACAAAAGGAAAGTGATGCCTAACTTTCCTTTTTCTCAGGAGGATTGTGAGCAAATTCTCCAGATGCTGAGCAAGAACAAATCATCTTTTGCTAACCAAGTGGGTAATTCTTCAAATCATGAAGATCTTTCAGGTAAAGCTTTTTCTTTCACACGTAATGGCAAGAAAAATGTGTGGATTTTGGATAGTGGGGCCACAGACCATATCGTTTGCAATCCTTGTTCCCTCACATCTTCCAGACCCGTTGACAACCATACCATTGAATTACCAAATGGCTCATTTGCTAAAGTCACCCACATTGGACAAGTTGTATTCTCTCCCAACCTTGTCCTTGATAACGTTTTGTGTGTACCACTCTTTACGTTAAACTTGATATCAATCAGCAAATTAGCCTATGACTCATTATACGTCACAATATTTCTAAACCAATTTTGTGTCATGCAGGACCTACGCTCGGGGAAGATGATTGGGATGGGAATTGAACGGGAGGGACTTTATTATCTCGATCCACCAAAGAAAGGAACATGCAACACCGTCAAAACCCCACCTTCTAACCTTTGGCACCAACGTCTTGGGCATCCATCACATAAAGTCTCTATGTTATTTCCATTTTTCCAAAATAAATCTTGTGATTCAAATAAATGTTTCATTTGTCCATTGGCCAAACAAACGAGATTACCGTTTTCATTGAGTTCTATATCTACCAAGTCATGTTTTGAGTTAATCCATGTTGATATTTGGGGTGGTTATCAAGTTGCCTCCATTTCAGGTGCAAAATATTTTCTCACCATCGTTGACGATTACACTAGGAGCACATGGCTTTATTTGATGAAACACAAATCCGATACAACAACATTTCTTGTCCAATTCATCCACATGGTAGAAAATCAATTCAATGCTAAGGTCAAAATGGTTCGAAGTGACAATGGTCCTGAGTTCAAGCTTTCCACTTTCTATAATCTCAAGGGAATTGTTCATCAAACTAGTTGCGTCAACACACCACAACAAAATGGTGTCGCTGAACGTAAGCATCGACACTTGCTCAATGTTGCTCGAGCCTTACTTTTTCAAGCTAATCTTCCTAAACGTTTTTGGGGGGATGCCATCTTAGCTTCAGCTTATCTCATAAATCGCACACCCACACCCATTCTCCATGGAAAAACACCCTATGAACAATTGTTTCACAAGGAACCCAATTATTCTCACTTACGAGTTTTTGGATGTTTGTGTTTTGCCTCAACTCATGCACAAAAGCCTTCCAAATTTGATCCTCGTGCACGTCGTTGTATTTTCATTGGTTATCCATATGGTCAAAAAGGTTACAGATTATTTGATCTTACCCTCCCAAAAGGTTTTTGTGTCACGGGATGTTATTTTTTTTGAAGATCAGTTCCCCTACCACACCTCAGACATTTCCGCTGCTCCCACTTCCTTGTCCACTCCAACCTCCTCACCACTGACCTTCGATATGGCCTCTTTTCCTCTCACCATTCCTCGGGCCATCACACCTGCACCTTTTACTCTGGACTCTCCTACTTGCCCACACACACCCGACACATCACAACCACCTTTATCCTCGTCGTCAATCCCGAACATACCCTTACCTTCTCCAGAAACATCACCTACTGCTCATCTTTCTCCCGCATCCACCAACACCCCAACCAGCCATACTCCTCCACCATTACCACCCCGCCGCGGCACCCGCCCCACCAAGCCTTCCTCATTTTTGCAGGACTTTCACGTCGAGACATCCCTCCCGTCAAGGCCTGCTCCGCCATCTTCAACGAACGTGGTTAAGACTTCAGGTACCTCTCACCCACTCTCTCACCACTTATCCTACACTCGTCTGTCCTCCCACCATAAACTTTATACAGCTAACCTCATGGTCATTAAGGAACCCACAAGCTTTTCGCAGGCTGTTCAAGACCCCCATTGGCGTGCTGCCATGCACCATGAGCTTGCTGCTCTTCAGGCCAATCACACTTGGTCTCTTGTGCCGTTACCACTCCACAAACGACCCATTGGATGCAAATGGATCTACAAAGTAAAGTTAAAACCCGATGGGACAATCGAGCGGTACAAAGCACGGTTGGTTGCGAAGGGTTATAGCCAGATAGAAGGGGTTGATTACATGGAAACCTTTGCCCCCGTGGCCAAATTGACCACTGTCCGTGTGCTTCTTAGTGTGGCAGCTTTACAAGGATGGCACTTGCATCAACTCGACGTCAACAATGCCTTTTTACATGGTGACCTCCACGAGGATGTTTACATGACCTTGCCTCCTGGGTTCGGACGAAAGGGGGAGACTCGAGTCTGTAAATTACACAAATCCCTGTATGGTCTGAAACAAGCTTCGCGACAATGGTTTCTTAAATTATCCACTGCACTCAAGGTTGCTGGGTTCCACCAGTCATGCTCTGATTATTCATTGTTCGTCCGAAGTCATCAAGGTAATTTTATCGCCTTGTTGGTTTATGTTGATGATGTAATACTAGCAGGCAATAATTTGCAAGAAATCGAAGAGACCAAGCAGTTCCTTTCCAAACGTTTTAAACTAAAGGACTTGGGCAAGCTCAAATATTTCTTAGGGATAGAGGTTGCTCGATCAAAACGTGGGATCACTCTATGCCAACGTAAATATGCATTGGACATATTGGAGGATGCTGGGTTTTTAGGCGCCAAACCTTCACGGTTTCCAGTTGATCAAAACATCTCTCTAACACAAACGGAAGGGAAGCTACTCAACGATGCATCTCCATACAGACGCCTTGTAGGTAGACTAATCTACCTAACTATAACAAGGCCTGATCTAGCCTATGTGGTTCACATGTTAAGTCAATTCATGGAAAAACCTCGACAACCACATCTTGAGGCAGCACACAAGGTCCTCAAATACATCAAGAAAGCACCTGGGCAAGGTATCCTCCTGCCCTCTACTGGCACATTACAATTGAAGGCATTTTGCGATGCCGACTGGGCTAGATGTAAGGATACCAGGAGGTCGATAACAGGTTATTGTGTTTTTCTTGGTCAAGCACCGATTTCCTGGAAAACAAAGAAACAAACTACTGTATCTCGCTCCAGTGCAGAGGCCGAGTACCGTTCCATGGCCACTACATGTTGCGAAATTACATGGTTGAAGAATATCTTGAAAGATTTGAAGGTGAGTCACCCACAACCAGTCACGTTATTTTGTGACAATCAAGCGGCACTACATATTGCTTCGAATCCTGTATTCCATGAACGCACAAAGCATATAGAGATCGATTGTCATCTGGTAAGAGAGAAAGTTCAAGAAGGGATGATACGTACAGCTTACATGCGAACAACTGATCAGCCCGCTGACATATTCACCAAACCATTGAGTTCGACACAGTTTGAGACATTACTCAGCAAGTTGGGTGTCATTAACATACACTCCAACTTGAGGGGGAGTGTTAAGGAAGATATCTCAGATTGATTATGTCAATATTGTAATTTGATATATGTAGTTATTCACTTACTTATTTAGTTTGATTGTCCTTGTTTATAGGCATCAGTATAGGACTATGATTGTATAGCCTCCTTATATATTTGTAACCCTAGCTTTATCGTAAATAAGAAAAGCATTCAGCAGATTTACCTTTTCTATGATTCGCAAACATTTAAAAGTTCTTCGATTTTCACACAACAAAACAACATATCAAATTAAAAAACCAATGCAATGTTAGTGAAATAAACTTGCACGGTATTTTGAGCTGTAAAACAATCACCTTGCAAATGAATAGGCATATCTGATTCTTCCAAATCCTTTCACCTCAATCCTAGAATTCGTCCCCTGTGTCACCACAAAAACATGTAAAAAATCCGAGAAAATCAAATGCTATAAACACCAAATTCCAAATTTGCAGTCAAAACCAAATTCCAAACGATGATTGTATGCATATCCAAGCCGTAAGGAAACCAAATTAAAAAAATTATTTGGAGATGAAAAGCCTGATGTAAACCCTAATAAAGTTTATAAATTTTAAATTTTATAATTATCCTCCGATGTGGGACAACATGAAGACCCTACTGTCGAGTTGTGTTTGTATTCCGTTCCAAGGACTGCGTAACTAACAAATCAGGGCTCAAAAATTCAGATTTATCTTTCAGAGGAAGAGAGAGAGAGTGTTACAGTGACAATGGCAGTGAGAGCTAAGAAATAGGAATCCATGAGACCCATGGAAATTGTTCTGGATTGTTGCTCTTGAATAAAAAAAACTCTCTGCTTTGCTTGCAGCTGCTGAGTTTTCAAAAGTGGAAAGGAAGCCCTTCGAAAATTCAATACAACAGGAAAAATTTATTTGCTGCAGTTTAACACCGTCAGATTCCAAGTAAATCATACTATTTTAACAATTCTCAATTTTAACACTGTTATGTGGATTTGGAAAACTAATTTTGCTCAAAAATAATATTTCGAGGATTCATAAGAATGCAGGATTGAAAGAAGAGTGCAGTGTCTTGAAATAAAAGTAACTGCAAAGGAAATTAACAGTTTGCATCATTGAATCGAACTAAAAACATAGTAATACCATTAAATCTCTCCTCTTAGAATTACATATCATTGTTTATATGGTTTGCTGTAAATAGAAGAATTCAACTAAATACTTTCAATAAGAACAACTGAAGGCATCTAAATGGTAATATTGTTAATTACCAGTCAATTTCTATTAACTAAAAACACTACACAGATCAACATTAAATAAAAAGCAATTTTTTTGGAAGCTAAATTTTCCACTTACAACTGATGTCAGTGGCCAGTTTGCCATTGCAAAACCTTCCAGTAGGCTGATGGTTCACAAAGTCCCTTCCATAAGAGCAACTCCACCCCTATCCACTTTGAATCAGCACCCAGCCCATTTATCCACTTAATTGAACAGTAACAGACTCAATGAACAGTAATAGGCCAAAGCATCTCCACCCCAAAAAAAAATGTGCTGGCACCTAGTCTAAAAATGCGCTGGCACAAACGATCTCCACCCCTACAAAATGCGCTGGCGCCCAGTCCATTTAAAATATTAAATAATTTTTTTATAAAATAATAAAAAAAAAATAGTTTTAATTTCGGATAGGATTTTTAATCAATCTCGTCACGCCACGTGTCATTATCCGAACGTACTATTTTTTGAATAGATTTCCGCTAAGATTTTCAACCAATCCCGACAACCCACGTGTCGCTTCCTGTTTACAATAATTTAGGCAAGATTTCGATAAGATTTTTAACCAATCTCGTCACGCCACGTGTCATTATCCGAACGTACTATTTTTTGAATAGATTTCCGCTAAGATTTTCAACCAATCACGTAGTGCCACGTGGCATTGTCCAGAACCTCATCTTCTTCTTTTTTGTCCATATAAACCCTACATCCCTACATCCATCCTCACACTAAACTCAATCCTTTTTTTTAGCTCAGAATTCTTCTTTATCATTTTCAAATCTTGAGTTCTTACAATGTCTTCTTCAAAGAGAGCGTATAAACAGTTGCAAGAGCAGCAGAAAAGGTTGTTGGCACAACAGGAAGAATTGGTCAATCTTGACCAAGGTGGAGGTGGAGATGAGGCCTTCGCAATGGAGGAGGATGACGATGATCACCATAGAAGGCGGAGGGCCTCACATTCCCGCCGTATCATGCAAGCTATGGGTCAGATAGCCAAACCCGGACGTGCGGCAAACATCGATAGAAGAAGGGAAAGACGAGGTAAAGATCTCTTGGAAGATTATTTTATTCCCAACAGCGTTTACCCTGATCATGTTTTTAGACGTCGTTTTAGAATGCAACGAAGTTTGTTCGCTAAAATCATGAGTGATGTTTGCAACCATGATCCATATTTTGTGCAAAAAGAGGATGCTTTTCATGTTCTAGGTCTTCTTCCTGAGCAAAAAATTACGGCTGCCTTGCGAATGCTTGCATATGAAGCATCCGCAGATCAAGTGGATGAGATCGCAAGGATGGGAAAAACAACAGTTCTGGAGTCCCTGATGCGGTTTTGCTCTGCAATTGAAGCCATCTACACCAATGAGTACCTTCGGCAACCCACGCCAAGGGACATGCGAAGGCTTCTTAGGAAGGCTGAGATGCGAGGCTTCCCTGGCATGATTGGAAGCATCGACTGCATGCACTGGACATGGAAAAACTGTCCAAGTGCGTGGCAAGGAGCTTATGGCGACAGAAAAGGAGCCAAAAGCATCATTCTGGAAGCGGTGGCTTCTTTTGATACATGGATTTGGCATGCTTTTTTTGGTGTTCCAGGAGCTCAGAATGACCTAAATGTCCTTGCCCAATCTCCAGTGTTTGATGAACTGCTACAAGGGCGTGGGCCGAGATGCACATATTGGGTTAATGGTACTAAATACGAGGGATCATACTACCTTGCAGATGGTATTTACCCAAGGTGGTCAACATTTGTCAAAACAGTGCCACACCCGCAGAGTGAAAAAGAGAAACACTTCGCAAAGTGTCAAGAAAGGTGTAGGAAGGATGTCGAGCGTTGTTTTGGTATCCTGCAAGCTCGTTGGGCCATTGTCAGGGCTGCAGCTAGAATGTTTGATGTCGAGGCTCTTCGATCCATCATGATGACGTGTATTATTCTCCACAACATGATTGTTGAAGACGAGTATGATTATGATGCCGTCGATGAATACGAGCCGGATCCGATGAACAACTCAAGAACACAAATCTACTATGCTCATGATCGGACCGAAGATCCCGTGCAACACGAGCCGTTGGAACGGGATGGACGTTACAATGAATTGATCGTTCAACGATACACTTCATTGCAAGAGCCATACTGGCACATAGCCCGCTAGAATGACTTGATTGAGCATCAGTGGAGCTTGCACGAAGGCGAAGATAATTAAAATAAGGCTTGTGGTTGAAGAATAAAGTGTATTGTTTTTTAAGTAATCTTATTTAGTGTGTTTGCTTTTTTTTTTTTAAGTTTAAATGGTGAGGTTATGTAATTTTAAGTTTAAATGGTGTTTTAAGTTTAAATGGTGTTTTATGTAATTTTATTTGGTGTTTTAAGTTTAAATGGTTTTTTTTTTAAGTTTAAATGGTGAGGTTATGTAATTTTAATTTTAAATTAAATAAAGTTCTAAAAGTAAATAAGAAATTACATAAGAAATTAAATAAAGTTCTAAAAATAAATAAGAAATTACTTATTTAAATTAAATAAAGTTCTAAAAATAAATAAGAAATTACATAAGAAATTAAATAAAGTTCTAAAAATAAATAAGAAATTACATAAGAAACTAAATAAAGTTCTAAAAATAAATAAGAAATTACATAAGAAATTAAATAAAGTTCTAAAAATAAATAAGAAATTACATAAGAAATTAAATAAAGTCTGTGGAGTTAGGATATGTGGTGCTAGGATCTTGGTTGCTAGGATTTCTGTAGCTGGAACCCCCTTGACTTGTTTCGGCATCTCTTGCACGCCTCCTTCGCACGACATCTCTTTTTTCTGATGTCCAAAAATATTTTGAATTCGGAGACAGTCCTACTAGAGACTTGTTCATAGTGTCACGATCTGTTTGAGCCATCCTTTCTTCTCTAAGCATCTCATTCTCTCGATGAAGTGCTTCTCTAATCATCTCGTTCTCTCGATTAACTATTTCTCTTTGTCTCTCAGACGCCGCATCACGAGCCTCAGTAGCTGCAATAATTGCTGCCACAGCAGCAGCTTTTTCCTCATCTCTAGCCTTTTCCCATGCCATGTTCATTTCACCTTGACGAGTAAGTTCCTCCATATATTTAGTGTAGTCATTTTTGGAAGAACTACCTTTTTTCTTTGATGCCTTTTTACCTTGAGGCCTGAGGGACTGACGAGTCGATTGGGTCTCTGGCACTTGTTCAGGCATCCCTTCCGTGTCTTCAAATGTGTTGGCTTCTTGTTTGGCTGTGTCTGCTTCTGGCGAACTGTGTAGACCCATACCGTGCATGACAACTTCTGGACCGGTTGCCACAATTTTGTATCTAGGGCAATCTTTGACAATTTGCCAACATTCCCATTTGTTGAATGATTTGTTATGGTTCTTTGCATTGTAGAATGCTTGTGCTTGTAGTGTCTATAAAAATTACATAAAAATTACATAAGAATTGTGGAATGCATAAAAATTATATAAAAATTACATAAAAATTACATAAGTATTTGGAATGCATATTACATAAAAATTACATAAGAAATTAAATAAGAATTGTCGAATGCATAAAAATTATATAAAAATTACATAAAAATTACATAAGTATTTGGAATGCATATTACATAAAAATTACATATAAGAAATTAAATAAATTAAAATATTGATGTGGGTGGAATGCATATAAATAAATAAAAATATTGTTACCTCATCCGCTAAACTTGTCCCACTACGCAAATTACCAGAAGCATGAGAGAGGGCATTTTTCCAACAAGTAAAGGATGCGTTGAGTTTTTTCCAACGACCTTGAAGACCTTGACTAGATCTGGCATCTTTTCCATGTACATCTTTTCCATGTACATCGTTGAACGATTTCGTAATTTTACTCCACATTTCTCGCTTATCCATCTCATTACCCGTAATCGGGTCATGAGTAGTGCGAACCCAACATTCACACAACGTAACATCTTCACTGAGCTTCCACGAAGTCATTTTTTTCTCTCAAAGTGTACAAAATATTCAAATGTAGAAAGTGTAGAAAGTGTAGAAAATATTGAAATGTGGTGTAAGGTGGAAGATGAGTGTTAGGTATTTATAGAAAAAAAAATTAATTTTTTAAAATTTTTCTGTATTTTTTTAAAAATTTTTGACATTTTTTAATTAATTTTTAATAAATTTTAATGTTGTAATTAATCGGGACCGTTGGATTTGAAAAATAATCAAATCCAACAGCACTCATTACGCCACGTGGCCAACGGTCAAATTTCTGACCGTTGGGCCTTTTTTTTTTTTTTTTATATATTTTTGGTGAAATAAACGTGGACCGTTGATCTGTGATCGGACGGTCCAATTTAAAATTTAAATTTAAATTTTTTTTACCGTTGGAAATCCAACGGCCTAAAAAACTAGCCGTTGGAAATCCAACGGCTCTGAGGAGGCCACGTTTCCTTCACCCGGACGCTGCAAGTGGGTCTGCACGCGGGCCCCCGCGCCTGCAAACCTGTCGGCTACTCGCCGCCCCCCCCGCGTGTTGTGCACGCGCCAGAAACAGACCGGGGAATGGGTCTGTCCATTTTGGGCTGGGCTCTTGACTGGCACGGGCTGGGTGCCAGGCAAGGTTGCGGGCTGGAGCACATATGGAGCAGGCCGGGCTGTTATTTGGACTGGGTGCTGGGCAATATTTGCTCCGGTGGAGCTGCTCTAAGGAGGGTAATCAACCTTTCGGGGTCTGCCAACCACCACCTTACATCCAAAGCCCCCATCTGCAGCAACCTAAACCAACCAAAATCCAAAATCCTGAAATTCCCAAACACAATAAATCCATTAGCAATTCTGAGACTTTCAAATATAAGGAGACTTAAATTTACAGCAAGATGAAAGCTTTTTTCAAATTTGAGGGCCAAATCTAATGAAATTTTGCAAAATGACCAAACAGATGTGGAATCTTTTGCATCCTTGGGAATTCTGGATTAGGGTCTTACGGAGATGAAGATAAAAGCAATAAAAAAAACCCAAAGAAAAAAGCTCAAATTATATACCTCAAGCACAAACAGCTTGGAAGCCTACACACAATACAAACAACAACAACAACAAAGCATTTTCCCACCAAGTGGGGTCGGCTATATGAATCCTAGAATGCTATTGCGCTCCCAAAAAAATGAAAACCACTGTTTTTTGAAAATAGAAAGAGAACCAAATCATACACACACACTCGGAATTCCAACATAAAAACAAAACCCCAAATTTTATGCAGTTCATATAATATCCAGAAATAATTCATAGCAAAAGGGCAGAAATGATGACAATCTATGCTAACAGTAGAGAATCGAATTAAAAATTGAACTTAGCTCAAAAACACTTACCCTTCAAGGTTCGGAGCCTCAGAAAAATTTATGAAGTTGACGCAAATATTTTTAGGTCTCAATGCACCTATCCCGCAAACCAACGAAAATGCAAATGCATTAATACAAATGCCAATGCCGATTTCTAAGATTTTAGTATTCTCTTTACCCTTGCAACCGAAAACCAAAAATCCCAGAAAAATGAGCAAGAAGCTTAAGCAGAAAAAAAAAACATATTTTCAACCACCAAAACCCAATACCCATTTAATCATACACGAACGAAAAATCTAAATGCAGAGTGATAGATCAACGAACTGAAAACCCCCCAAAAAAAAGCCACAAAAAAGAAGAAGAAAACTGACCTTAAAACAAAGAAGAATGCACAGAACAGAGAGATGCATCCCCAAAATGAGAGAAAATGAGAGAAAACGAAACAAAGGAACCCCCAAAACCTGACCTAACAGTGCAACAATCCGGAAATAATTCACATCAAAAAGGATGAAATGATAACATCTATGCTAACAGTAAGAATGGAATAAAAAATGGAACTTAGCTTTCGAAATCCAGCCATTCATCCGACATGCAAAAGGGAACAGCACGGCCTTGCCTGCGCCGAAGAAAGAACGAAGTGACGGGGGATGGAACCTAACCCCAATCTGAAACCCTATCGATTAAAAGACGATTCCACCCCTCTAACTCATCATCCTAACCGTGAGATATGAAGATGATGAGATGGCCAGTGTCGTCATTTTACACAACAAAAAATTTCCGAAACCCAGTGGCAACTGGTAAAACCGTAAATATATTGCAATCTGATCAGAGACAGAATTACCCTCCTAACTTTTGAGAATTACCCTCCCAACCCAACCACATTCGGCTGGTATTGTTGTAAATAAAACAAAATCAACAGTGGCTGCCCCCGCTCCTACTTTAGAATAGGTAATTTCTCGGTGGGCCGGAGTTTTTTCTGATTTTGCTTGGGAATCATGAAAAAATGATGATGAAAAATGGAGAAGTGGGGTATCGATCCCCATACCTCTCGCATGCTAAGCGAGCGCTCTACCATCTGAGCTACATCCCCTTGTTGAACTCTACGGTCATCCTTATATATTTAATTATTTTGTTTGTTTCTATTCTCGCTTATCTTAAAACTATTTTTCCAATGCTAACAAAATTTATGGACGAATCGTCGTTTTTCCAGTAACAATTACATCAAAAACACGCATATGGAAGCAGTTGTGTCCTGTGTGTACGTAGAAAACTTGAAATGTTGAAGCGGCTGTTGCTTTTGTTATGAGGAAAGAGGAGGATAAATGGGCAATACATGTGCTATTAATATAAATGGCGACACTATCTCAGTTATGAATGTCATTTCTTTAAAGGAAGACCTTTTGTATGCCAGATGCAAAGCTTTTAGGAGCATAATGGCGGCAGGGAACTCCGCTGGTGATTCACGGGATGCAAGGTTCTTAGAATACTCCTTGGGCCAGGGCACTTTAAGTCAATTTCGGATGACGGCTATATAGGCCTTTAAATATTGTTTATCAATGACGGCTATATAGGCCCTTAAATTTGATTGTACGAGAAGCGGTTGTTGTTTCAAGTTTTAATATATTTCTTTATTTATTAAAAAAATGGGCATAAATTTTTTTTATTTTTGTTTTTTTGAACAAACGATATTAACACACTAAGGGATGGAGGAGTGAATTAAACCTCACAATGATGAGGATAGGATGCTTTCAACCCGATCGATGGGAAAAAGAATATCCAACACTTACAAACTAGAGTTACTTATATTCTGCATCACGTTAATCACTTACGCCCAAAACTCGAGATCTAAACCCTAGCTCAAGAGTTTGACAAACAAAACACCGTTAAAGTTCATACTAAGATAATTTCTAAAGCTAAGATGGTAAGGAAAGAACAATAATTCCTTTTCAAAACATTGGATTGGAGGGAGAGAGAGACTAGAGGTCCAAAATAAGAAAACGAACAAAACAAGCAATTTCCCAAAACACTATGAACACTGCACCAATATGTCTGATCATCTTCCCAAACTAAACCTAGGTACATCCAGTCAAACTATTACATCGTGCACCAATCTGAAAGCCAACTACTCCACAAGGGGCTTCCGGCCTTGGTCCCGAAATTAAGAAGATCAAAAGACAACCAATTAAGAACAAATGAGAGTATAGCCATCCGAACAAGGTAAAGAGAGAACAAGAGACAGACTCGAGAGCACCATTATCCCGGCATTGTGTAGTTATTGATTTCTATGAGTTTTCAATGGTTGCGGTTGTAATTCGTAACGGCCGTGGTCTTTCCTGGTCACCATTCCGCTTCCAAAAGGCCCTCCTCCACCAAACTTCAAATCCTCTTTGTATATTGGGGCAATCTTCACCTGAGTTCAAGAACCGATTAAACCAAGCCAGCAAAATTTCTTGCTGCCATGCTAATGGCAGGGTCAGGATTGTGTTGCTTAGACCATCCTCAATTGAGTGCCTATCCAGGCCTTTCGAAGCCCTTTTCATCCAGGCAAAATCATCGTAAAACGGGACCAACCATGTACGCAAAAGCAAGAACCTCACATCCTTGGAAACCAATAGCTGCCCCTTTCCCAGCCCGACAAAGAGACGAGCAGTAACTCTGCTAATCTCGTATCTATGAACTGCAGCCACTTTAGAATGCACCTCAGACAATTCAGTTTGGGATGCCCATGTTGTCAAGAAATCTTCAGCCATTTGTCTGTCAATCAAAATATCCAAAATCCAATGCAAATTATCTGCTTGCCTCGCAATCTGACCCACATCTTGCAAGTCTGACTCTGCTGCCCGAGAAAAATGGTGGCGAAGCAATTGCAAACACCCATCACAAGCCGAGTACAAGGACTCTTTCCGGAGATCATTATGAGATGAATTCTCACGAAGCATCTTCAACACCAATCCTTTCATCTCGCGTCTTGCCTTTTCGTCTTTGCCTTCAAGAACCACATGCAGAAGCTTTATAAGAACTTCTTCGTTGTCATTACCCACTTCAGTCCCATTGGCAACTTCCACAGAGACCCTCTTGAGTACTTCCCCAGCTCCAACGCCTTCAAGGCGAAGCTCAAACATCAGTGATGCCACCTTCTCCTCTTCATCCTCAGCCCATGGGGCAGCTTCTAAGTATTCTAAACAAGATAAAACACCGGCATCGAATCCAATTGCTGCCGAAACCTAAAGCACACAGAACACCCACAAATGCCATCATTCCCATAAACTGCATTTCCATTTTTAGCTTGTTATAAGTAACACAAAGTCAAAATTAAGAAGGAACACTCAAAAATTGAATTCGAACAACTGGGTTTTTTCGAATCGAAAAAAAGGGTTTTAATCTGTTTCCATTCTAATTATCTAACCTTTCTAAGCAATCAATCATAAGCTGTAATTACACACCAAAAAAATAGAAACTTTAAAAACGAAAAGTAAAATTAATCAAACCTTGCCTTCAAAATTCCAAGCACTTTAGGGACATCCTCCTTCATCAGCCTCCTCCTCAGATCCTTACAGTACATCAACCTCAAGGCCTCGATATAAACCTCCACGTCATCACAATCCGCAATCTCCACATTGTACGGCGGAGACGACGATGGCGCCGTTCTCTGCTGCTTGACCCACCTCTCCGACAACTTCACCGCGAAGAACCGACTGTGCGCGACCAGAATCTGACGGTGTACATTCATCGACACACTGAACCCATCTTTGGAGCTCAGAGTGAGCTTAATGTCACTGCTCGACGGGTCATTGAACTGGTTCCCTGGGCTCCGATTCCCCGTCAGAAGATGTGAGACCCGCTGCATCATCAACGCCTGCTTGTCCTGAACGAAACCCACATGGGTTTTGCGCCCGCTTGCCGACCCGACGCCGTTCTGGTGGATCTGGGCTCTGGGTTGGGCCATTTCGGGTTCGCTAGCCATCATTTCGAAAAGGGTCGGGCTGGACCGGTTCGTCTTGTCGGATTGCGGCGGCGGCGGCGACATGGGGTTCAATAACCCAGCCGTGAGCATTGAATTGAACCTGCTGAAGCTGGAATTAAACGAATCGTTTTGACCAGAATGGCCATTTGTCAACGCCGGACTAAAATCCATGACCGGAGAGCGACTACCCGGGGCGAATCGGATCCGGAACGAGGACGGCGAAGAAGAAGGCGATTTCCCAGATGGGTAATACTGAACCGGATCGGGTTTATGTTCCGGGTTAATGGGTTGCGCCTGGCGTGGCTGGGCGGAGATGGGTTTCGAGTCTTTCGAGGCGAAACAGCACCAGGAGTTATCGGGGGAGACAATGGTGGGCGGGCCGAGTTTTCGAGGCGGGTTGAGTGCTGTGGCGGCGGTTTGGGAAGATAGGGTGGTGGAGTCGCGGTGCCTACGGCGTTTGGTTTTGGTTTTGGAGGGGGTTGTGTGGGAATTGAAGTGCGTAATGTTAGTACTACTAGTAGTTGTCGTTGTGCCTGCCGCAGCTGCCATGAAATATTAAATTGAAAAATTGGAAAAAAGACATAAATTGTTAAGCCAAATGCTTTTATTCTTGTCCTTTAGTTTTCAGAGAGATTGGTATGAAATTAATCAAAATTATGAATTTTTTGGGATTTTTTTTTCCTTTCTTTTGGGTAATGACAAAGAAAGTGCATTAAAAATGGTGGTGTAAACGAGATGGATCAGAGCTTAAAAAAAAAAAGAAAAAAAAAAAGGAAGAGCGATGAGAGGAGACTGGGAAAAGAGCATTTAGTGGCGGATCGATGAGAAATGAAAGTGAGAGAGAGAGAGAGGGAGAGAGAGAGGAGAGAGAGAGAGATATAGGGGAGAGAGAGCCCTATCTACATCTGGCTTTGTTTGGATGATGAAACCAAAAGCTGAGGGTTTTTTATGGTTTTGCGATGGATGGGGTTTTTGGACTCTTCACGAAATGAGGAAGATTGAAGATTTTAGGGATCAATTTATTTTAATTTTCATTGTATATCGTGTGATTAATTTTTTTTAAATATTATATATTTAATTTTAAATAAAAAATTAAAATAATTTATGATTGCAGAATTACTAATGAACGGATGAGATAGACTGTTCTTTATATCCTAAAAAAAGAATCCGGATAGAAACATATTCCCCGAGAAAACTTTGGAATTGTCAGAACAAAAAAAAAAAAAAAGGTGAGAGCGAGAGAGGCAGAAAGCCAAGTCTTGTGATGGATGTGTTGTACGATTCATTGCTTCAATTGGTGTGATTGTGCTGTTGTGACAGTTATGTGTTTTTAGTCTCTCACTTCTTTTCTTTTCATTTGCTTAGTTTTGGAATCTGCTTCAAGTCTTGCGTCAAATAGGGTGCTTCTATTTGTAAAATTGGATTGGTTTTTGTCATGATTTTACAATTGGGTTCATGTTCATACAATTTTTGAACAACTAGCACAAAGCGATTTTATTGTTACGTAGCATTTTTATTCACGAGACAATAACATATTTTGAGAAACAAGAAGTCACGATAGCAGCGAATGCATTTCATGTAAGCTCTTTTCTGTGTTTTAAGTCTCCAAATATTAGCAGACAAGTAATTTCCTCACTCTCGTATAGGATGCATGCAGGCCGTTGGATTCTATTTTGTTGTACAAAGGGCTTAGTCCCTTGTTACATATCATGAACTATGATGCATCATGTCACAGTCACCACTTCATTTTAATTAATATTGGTCATTAAAGTAGGTATTATTTTTTTAATTGCAGTATTAAATTTCATCCATTTGCAGTTTAGTTTCTTTTTTTATTGGTATTTTAACTTATGTCTCTTTCCACGAAATTCATGCTACATTTGAGACTGAAAATGATTGAGAGTAACCAAGCATGCAAACTAAAATTCCCACCACAAATGCCAAAGGAGTCTAAATCACAACTATATATCTACCCAACCCAATCTCATTCCCACCTACCATCCTTGCATTGCATGTAGATTTATTAAGCATAAAAAACTCTCTAATCACACTTTCATTTCATAATAGAAAATTACTTTCGCACTCTTTTCTTTTCCCGTTCAAATTCTATATTTTTGAATAGTTGTTAGAATAAACAAATCAAAAAAAAATTAAAAAAAAATAACTGAAGAAAATAATATAAAAAAAAACACTTGCAATTATTGTACTATGTTAATTTTTCGTCTTAGTGAAAATAAGCTACCTTCTATTTGTAACAAACTTGACAACTAAAGCCAAACACATGAAAAATAACGGAAAGAGATCATCTCCGGATCCCTTGCACTAAATCCTCTTAATCAATTAATCCGGGTCTTTGAAATTTGATTCAATAGCTACAAACAGGAAGCCCCTTTAAAAGATGCAATAACTTTAGCTGTTGGATCAAATTTCAAGGGACCGAATTGATTAATTGAGAGGATTTGGTGGAAGGGATCCTAAGAGGATCCCTTTCCACAGATAATTAACATAGTGGTAAGGGCGTGGATTGCGATTCCCTAATAAACAAAAAAGTGAGAGGTCTCGGATTCGATTCTCCGAGCTGGTAAGTCTGCATGACTGTGATCACAGACAAAGTGAAGTTCCCCATAACCTCTTTGAAGCCAAAAAAGTAGATAACGATAATTTACTACCAATTAGCCCTTTTCTAAAAAGATAAAAAAATAGCACGGGATGAAGATACCTCTGATCTGTTTCCAAGCTACGTGACATGAAAGTTTTATTATTTTAAGTTGATACTTATATAATGGAAGTTAAAAAGGTCATTCTGTTATTATAAAAGATAATACCATACTTTGTTTCATCCCAACTTATTTTGTTACTTCTCTCCTTTCACTTTACTTGATGTCATTTCGTGTTTCATGTGGTGTGCCTCTCTCCCCCTCTCCCTCTCTCTCATAATGCATACAATTTCGGCATTTTTTTTAATAGTATTTTGGAGTATTAGTAATGCTAGATAAATTAAATAATGTATCACTAATAAGAAATAAGAATGTTAATTAACACTTAAGTAATAATACAATCATTAATTTTCATGTTATTTAGTTTACAACATTTAGTTAAATTTAGTCTTCGTAATATTACCTTTATAATAATTGTGAAGATTTTAGTTGTTAAATTTTTATCAAAGATACAATGTTTAAGATTATTAGTCCATTGTGTGATTGCCCAATTTCTCACCTCCAATATTGTTGTATATAAATAAAACCAATTAAAAACTTCAAATTATAGAATACTCCGAATCATTGTAGAATTCCCACAAAAAAAAAAAAAAAAAAAAAAATCCTCCATTATATTTCATGTCATGGGTGCCACAACCAAATGCTATTTCATGCTCTTTGCTAGCTGTACTATCGGATCACCATTCTATGCACATTTCCTATACGTTCTCACCAAAAATACAGGCAAGCAAGGAAGAATTAAAAAAGAAAGTGACGGATATAGAAAACCCTACTCACTTTATTGGCATTGGAGGGGGACCGACATTGTCTACACAGATACAAATATTGGTCCACATCTAATAATTTTTGTTGTTACCCATTGATTTAACACTCATTAAGTTTCATTCTTCCTTGGCTACAAAGGAAAAGAAAATTAACTTGATAAAAAATGTGCCCCTTATTTTGCTAAATTAACCAATATATTTTTATTTATATATAATTTCCGGTGAGAATTTTTTGGATAAACTTGTGTGTTTTAACTTAGGTAAATTGAAAGAAGTTGAACAACATTGAGGAATAAGGACGGCAACTATGGAAAACCATTATTTTGTACATTTGGTTGGATATGTTGGATTTCCTTTGGGGCTCAAAGGCCCCATACAAGAGAAGAGACTTCGCTTTCGGCTTTTGTTATGCAAGTATGGTGAACAGATTGAGACTTGGAGAGCATAGATATTGTCTTTTGCATATGCCAGCGTAACCAATACAAATCTTTTAGACATTATACCAAATGTGTCTTTTATTCAATTTTGATGTAGTGTATAGGGTAGGAACACAATTTTTACAGCCAATTATGTAACCACATATACATCGAAGACACTATAAGGAAAACAATATTTCTCAGTGCTAAGCGGAAACATTGCACGCTTGGAAGTAAACATTAGTTATAAGCATTCATCGTTACTCTAGACATATTCCAGAGAAGTATCATTTGACGGCCAAAAGGTGTGTTCATGTTTCGCCCAGTCTAGGGTTGGGAGGATAAGTGTTGCAAAAAGTAACCAAGCTCAAACCTCTAATGAGGAGGAGTGATGAGGCTTAAGCCACTCTAATTGTGACATCCCACATCGCCCAGGGGAGTGATCCTTAAATGTATATTTCCATCTCTACCTAGCACGAGGCCTTTTGGGAGCTCACTGGCTTTGGGTTCCATTGGAACTCTGAAGTTAAGCGAGAAGGGGGCTAGAGCAATCCCATGATGGGTGACTCACTGGGAAGTTGCTCGTGAGTTCCCAAAAACAAAACCGTGAGGGAATGGTAAGCCCAAAGAGGACAATATCGTGCTACGGTGGTGGAGCGGGGCCGGGAAGTGATCCGCCCCGGGCCGGGATGTGACAAATTGGTATCAGAGCCTAACCCTGGCCGCGTGTGTGCCGACGAGGACGTCGGGCCCCTAAGGGGGGGTGGATTGTGACATCCCACATCGCCCAGGGGAGTGATCCTTAAATGTATATTTCCATCTCTACCTAGCACGAGGCATTTTGGGAGCTCACTGGCTTTGGGTTCCATTGGAATTCCGAAGTTAAGCGAGTAGCGCGCGAGAACAATCCCATGATGGGTGACCCGTCGGGAAGTTCTCGTGTGAGTTCCCAAAAACAAAACCATGAGGGCGTGGTGGGGGCCCAAAGCGGACAATATCGTGCTACGGTGGTGGAGCGGGCCCGGGAAGTCGTCCCACCCGGGCCGGGATGTGACACTAATGGAGAATTCGATTCTACACAAACTAAGCAGGGTTAATATGATGCAGTTCGTAATCAGCAGTTGTTAGCAGTCCAACCCGTCAAAACAACTTATGTTATTACTTAACCATTTCTGTTATATGCTACTTTAACCATTTTATATCTTACTTTTTCTTACCGGTATTACTATTAGGCCTTGATAATGTTATGTTATATACACACACTCAACAATTTAATATTATATAATAATTAGCCTTTCTGCAAGCGTATATGCGCGTACAATAGACCTTTTATTTATTATGCGCGTTGCTTGCCCCTAAAGATCCGTTAAAATTGATTAATGTATAAACAAAAATGACGTTAATGTTTATTGTAGGACGTAGGTCACATTTTTCAAACCATCGTGACCAAATGATGGTATATGACACATTGATTAAAAAAAAAGAACAATATGTAGATAGAAAAACATAAAGTCTACTTATAACGTGATATTTCCATTACCAAATCATGGCTTGTTTTAATGTATCAAGCGAAGCAAAATATAACAATATGTACATATGTAAACATAACGTCTACTTGTGACATCAAAGCTACGCTCGCCACTCATTTCTTTGCAGTTGATGCTTTAGATTTTCTTGGTCAATCTGCAATCAATAATAGTAAAATAAGAAGTCAAACTAATTAAGGTGGGAATAATGCATTAAGGGCTAGTTTGGTATTGTTGTGCTTTGAAAAAAAAACTATTTCTGCTGTGCTGTGAGAATAGGCAATTGTGAAATAAAGCAGTAGAGTGTTTGGTAAACTTTTTGTAAAAGTGTTTATGGAAAAAAAAAAAAAGCAGTATTATAGTGTTCGGTAAACTTTTATGTAAAATAGTTGTGACTGTGTGAAATGACCCAAAAGGGTATAATACTAG